TGTACGAGTCAGTGTTCGCGCCGGGGGACCTCTGCGGCCCCTCTTCGCCCAAAAGACTCTGCCTCCGGCCCTCGGAGCCCGTGGACGCGGCGGTGGTGGTGGTTTCCGTGAAACACGACCCCCTGCCACTTCCTCCCGAAGCCAATGGGCACAGAAGCACCAGTTCTCCCTCCATAGTTCCACCTGCTATCGTTTCCCCCGCCCAGGTAACCGAACTGAACTCTGCATGCATGTTTCTGCCGTGTCGCCAACAGGTTAACTTGTGCTCACTTGTGCTCATGCCGGTCTGGGTTGGGGCAAGTTGGAAAAAGTAGCAGATATCAGGGATCCCGTTCGGTTTCGCCCTGAGGAGCTTAACTCTGGGCGCTTTTCAGGGAAGTTCGCACCTGACCTCTGAAGGTGGGAGAGGGCCATCGCCCTAATAATTACCCCAACCATCACAGCTGCGCTTCAAAGTTAGCAGAACAAAAGGGTGAGCGCCCCACAGGCTTTCATTGAAGGCAGGGGTTCTAAGGCCAGGAGTGCGGGGTACTGCACGGATAAAGGAAGCAGTTACCTCGAATCTATTTGCATAAAGGAACCATTAAAATACTCTATTGCATAGTCACCGTAACTTATGAAGTTCGGGCACCAGTTATAAATTATGAGAAAGCAAGCGTGCCAAGCCCACTTCCTGTAAGGAGGCGGGAGTGGAGGGCCTGGCCGCTCCGTGCCAGTAGCATGTAGTTGAATGTAAAGTGACGTGTGGGGTGTCATTAACACAATCTGAAGTCACGGCTGAAGTTACTGTTAGATGGAAAGGAGACCTGCCCCAGCGGCCAGGCTCTGCCCCAAGCATTGGCCCTGTGGTGCCCGGCACTGGGGCAGGCAGGCGTTGCTGTCTTTCCCAGCCCCATGGAGCTCACGATGGGCGGGGATGGGGGGGCGGGGGTGCAGATAGGACGTGTGAATATAGGGAGTTAGGACACACAGCACCACAGGACTTGGCACGAACCCCAAAGGAAGGGGTTGTGGCCCAGAAGCTGAGCCCCCGCGGGCAAGTCGGCTCACCTCTCTGGGCTTCGGTGTCCTCCTCAAAGATCAGGGCAGTGTTTTTTGTTCGTTTGTTTGGTTTGGTTTTTTATAGCAAAGGTGGAGCTTGATTGAAGAACAAGTACAGATTCCCACGTGGGGAGGGGGAGGGAGTCCCCCAGGGCCGCGTTTTAACATTGAAGTTATTTAATTCTACGCAGCACCACGTTCTAGGTGGAGACTGGGGGCTTAGGTGGAGGCTTCTGGTCTTGGGGTTTTCCCTGGAGGAATCTGTTCGCATGATTAAAGGGGCCTTTATCTCCGAGACTCCTCTCTCCCAGCCAGACCCCGGAGGGCCCTGGGGCCGGCTCTGCAGGCGGGAGCAGCCACCGGAGGTTTCACAGCTGTGCCCTCTCTGCCACAGAGCAGAGTGGAGTCCGGGCTGTACATCTGCACGTGCAGGGCAGGCCCTTCAGGGAACAGATGTCAGGTACCTCTGCGCTTTTTCCAAAGTGGAAATTCCAGTTCTGGATGAACTGACCCTTTCAAACATTTACCAGCTAATCAGCGAGCCTCAAGGCCAACTGAGAAAGAGGCTGTGAGCGATCATATAAACACCCAAGTTCTCTCAACTCTGCGAGGCTGTGGGCTCGGGGTCTTCCTCTCTGTACTCCTGGTGTGTGAGCGCGTTTCTGACAGGCCCGGAGGTTGGCTTAGGGCAGGGGTGGGGAACCTTTCCTCCTGCCTAGGGCCACTCGGCTATTTATAACATCATTCACGGGCCATACAGAATTACCAGCTCAGAAATGAGCCTGCTATATTTGGTCAAACATTTAATGAACTGCCCCCTAATGCCTTGGCAGGGCCAGACCCAAGGATTTCTCAGGCCTTATATGGCCCGCGGGCCCATGTTCCCTACCCCTGTTTTAAGGAGGATTTTTTTCTCTTTGGAGAATTTGGGTTTGCTTTTTCTTTGAAAGCAAAAATGAATGTTCATATTCTTCTCCTAAAATGAAAACCCTTAAAATGCCCTGGTTCAGAATAGCATCTGGTTAAGAGTTAGGAGCCTACAAGAGTTTGGTGAAGTGCATGTCTGCTCGGAATAATAACGACACAGTTCGTCTCCCGGCGTCTGTCTGCTGGCTTCCTGACACCCATGTCATTACAGAATCATGACCTAAGACCCCGGCGATTCGCCGGGTTTGTCTAGCTGCTTCCTTTTGTTTGAAGGAGTGCAGTCTGTCACAGTCTTTTATTTTAACCGAGTGAGACACATCCGCTCTCTAAACCTGAAGACTAATTCTTCTCTTTTTTTCTTGAGTTGTCAGGTAGCTCCCAAGTTGAGTATGAATGTGAGTACCCACATATTGGTTATGTCCTTACCATGGCTCTCGAACTAAGTCCCCTGTAGTTAAAAATGCGACTAAAAGTTGTTCTCTCTGCACATAGTTAACAGTCAGCTTCTCACTGACGTTGGAGCCAGCTCTCAGAAATCAGCAATAAGAAATGTGCAGGCACGCTGCAGTAAGCACCAGAGAACTCGCTGTAGGAAGCCCGAGTATTCTAAGTCTATAACCAATGTTTCCGTACAAAGCTGAGCTTAAACTATTCCTGCGTCTGTTTATTAAAGCCACTGTAGCAGTTGAGGTCCAGGGCATTTCCTGGGATTGATGACCGGCCCAAGGCGTAGCTCCAGGTGGCCATCTCCTCCAGGTGGCACGAATTCCCCGGGGAATGCCATGTGCCCGTCCCAGTCCAGTCCTCGGTACTTAATTACCAACACGGGCTGTCTGACCTCACTCCTGACGGGACCCCGAGTGCTGTGTCCCCGAAGTCCACTGGTGCCCATGCTATTCTGGACTCTCACTAATGCCGCCACACCCTGATGCTTTAGGGCCCTTCTGACATTGCGAGCATCTCAAAAAAATGAAGAGCCTGTTACTTTTCAGGGGTGGGGAACCTTTTTTTCTGCCAAGGGCCATTTGGATAGTTAAAAGATCATTCGAGGGCTATCCGAAGTCTTCAACTCAAAATTAGCCTGCTGTACTTGGTCAAACATTTCGTTAACTCCCCCCTAATGTCTCGGCAGGGCCAGCCCAAAGGATTTCATGGGCCTTATGGGCCCCAGGCCGGGCGTCCCCCACCGCTGCATTTAAATACATTGACTCTTTTTATTAGGACATTAATAAGCGAGTTGGTTATGGGACTGGCTGGAAAATGAACGCACTTGAGGATTAACAAAGATGGAGTTTGTGATTTTTACTCCTGCGAAGTGCCTGCGTTTTGTTTTTCATTGGGGCGGGGGACGGGGGGGGGGGCAGGGTGATGGTTGCTCTAACTGATTCGCTCTTTAATGCTTCCTCTTGAATGGCTGTTTCAACGTCAAGAGTAGGTTTAGTTCCCTTTCCCTCCACAAGCTGTTGTCATCTCAGATGGTCCGGTTATTGGTGCAACTTCCCAGCTCCCAGGTGGCGGTCACGCGGTGCATTTTCCAAGGTTTACCGGGTCTCTTCTGCATCCTCCTGGCTGGTCTCTGCATCTCCACAGCATTTTCCCCGCCTCAGAGAACAGTCCTTCCGTTTAGAGAGATGACAGAGATTCCCAACGTTGGTCTTTATAACTTAGCTTACACAACTGTAGAATACCAATAGGAGCTTAGATTTTAAATATCATCGTGCTGTTGGCTAAGTGTGTATATAGACGGTGCCTCTCTCCAGGACCAAACAAAAAATGTGAACATGAGCTCCCTGAAATGCACTGGGGAGCATTCGTCAGCCTGTGACAAAGCTGCAAGTCAGTTGCACTCACTTGACCCTAACCCGGATTATTTCCAGAAATACTTTTAAGGAATTCCAAAAGTGGAAAGTCTATTAGTGGAAAGATTCCGGAGCCGGCGGAGCATGTCCGCTGCTGCTGTTTCATTGTCTTCAGTGGGGGCCAGAGTTGTCCTCACTGTTTCCGAGCTGGAAACGGGAGCAGCCCCCCTGTGGGTGTGCATCCCTCCTGCCCTCGCCTCCAGAAGCCAGCGCTGGTTGCACTGGGAGGCCCGGCTCACTCCGGTCCAGGTGCTGTGATGTGGAAGGGAAAGGCGCTTCCATCTATTCCTGGG